GGAGAGATCACTTTGGAGCTGCTTTTGAGTTGGATTGATGGGATAGCCAAGGCAGGTCTGAGAGGAGCAGGTATCACCCGCCTCACGTTGCATCTGCAAACGCACCTCATCACCTACCCTTTTATTGCTGTATTTGTTTGGTTTAACTTCCATTCAAGCAAACGTTTTTTCATATGAAAGCCAAGACGTTTTGTATTTCGATTCCAGTCCTGCCATTATTATAAGTAATAGTTTATGACTAGGCAGATCATAAGACGGAGGGCAGGAAGGGTTGCATCATTGCTTAGTTCTCATGGCCCTTTCTTACATGCCCAGGGAAATGTTGAATCCCACTTTGGGGTCAGGAAGCAATTTTCTCCAGGCCAGTTTGACCAGGGATCCTGGAGGGGTTTTTTCCATCTTCTGGTCATGGAGCAGGGGTCACGGGGGTATTGGGGGGGGAGGCATTTGTTGTGAATTCCCTGCATTGTGCAGGAGGTTGGACTAGATGACCCTGGAGGTACCTTCCAATCCTATGATTCCATGACAACACATAAGAGTTTAATTTAGGCTCATGTAAGGTTTGGGTAGTGGCCTGGATGGTCCAGACTAGCCCGAGATTGTGAGAGCTCAGAAGCAGGGGTTGGCCCTGGTTAGTACTTGGATGGGAGACCACGGAGGGAGGCAGTGGCAGACCATCTCTGTTCCGTTTAATTTAGGCTCATGTAAGGTTTGGGTAGTGGCCTGGATGGTCCAGACTAGCCCGAGATTTAATGAGAAGCTAAGCAGGGGTTGGCCCTGGTTAGTACTTGGATGGGAGGCCACGGAGGGAGGCAGTGGCAGACCATCTCTGTTCCTCTTTGGCCTTGGAAACCCCATTGAAGGTTCACCATAAATCAGCTGTAACTTGATGGGATTTCATTAGTATTATTACAGTCTGGGGATAAGCCATTATTCTCTGTCTTTATAACGGCCGCAATAAAGTGTGTTTTGAATTTTTAACCATTATTAGACTGTTTACATGAACCCTGCTACTGATTTGGTCTACTAGTCAATTAAACCATTTTAAGCTCTTCATGCAGATGAAGATCTCTCCCTTTATTCATTAGTTTATTTACATTATTTATTGTCTCCCCGAGACTCATTAACTACATAGGACTGAAGGGTACACTGCATTGCCAGCTTGCAGACATAAAGCAAATATGACCTCTTGAGCTGTAGTCCTGTCTACCCATATAAATCCTGTTGGATTCAGCGTGACTTTACTTCTGCAGCAAGACGCTTTGGATTGAACCTCAGGAAATGAGCCAAAGTTAACAGATATTTTGCATTTTAGGATAAAATCACCCTGAGATAAAAACTACTCCAGTTTTGTCAAGGGCAAAAGGAAAGAGAGACAGCTTTGTGTTAGTGGTTAAAACAGTGATAGCGGTTCAGGAGCAACGTGCGGCTCTTCACCGTGCCATCTTCTCACAATACAAGAACTCGTGGGCACTCCATGAAATTGCTGAGCAGTTGGGTTAGAACGGATAAAAGGAAGTACTTCTTCACCCAAAGAGTGATTCACACATGGAATTCACTGCCACAGGAGGCGGTGGCGGCTACAAGCATGGACGGCTTCAAAAGGGAATTGGATAAACAGATGAAGCAGAGGTCCATCAGTGGCTATTAGCCACAAGGTATAGATAGGGGTTCTGGGGCAAGTGATGCTCTGTCTTCTTGGTGCTTGGGGGGGCCAACAGTGGGAGGGCTTCTAATGTCCTGGGCCCACTGCTGGACCTCCTGATGGCACCTGCTATTTTTGGCCACTGTGTGACAGAGTGTTGGACTGGATGGGCCTTTGGCCTGATCCAACATTGGCATCTCTTATGTTCTTATGTTCTTATGTCACTGTTCTGAGCACTTTCCCCCTATCTGGCACCTGCCTCAAGTTTCAGGGAAGTGGGCAACCTCTCGCCCCATGGGGCTTGAGGTTGGCAGGTGGTCTCCATCTTGAAACAGCTGCTGCCGGAAGAACGGGTAAGCTACAAGCCTTCCTGAGGCAATCGCCTCATGTGAGGGGTAGATGTAAACGTGGCTATTTTGATTTATGGTAATTGAGAATGTGCCTCTCTGTGAGCCATGGAGTGAGTTACAGTGTTGGATTAGGAGCCCTGGGAGACTGCCATGGAAGCTCGTTTGGGCCTTGGGCCAGTCACTCACTCCCAGGCAAACATACCTCACAGGGTTGTTGTGAAGGTAAAATGGAGGATGGGAGATGAACGTATGCCACCTTGAGCTCCTTGGAAGAAGGCCTAGATAAAAATGCACTAAATATATCTATAAAAAGGCATTCCAGTTTTCCTTCAAGATATAAGAACCACAAGAGACTGATCTTGACAGTGCTTTCCTGAAACTATCATCCATCCTATACATGGGTTCAGATCATGAATGGGGGACTTGGTGTTAGGGTTGCCTGGAAATTTTCAACGCGGAGCCTGAGGAGTACGGGGTTGAGGGGGGACTTCAATGGGATATAATGCCACAGAGTCCAACTTCCAAAGCCACCACTTTCTCCAGGTGAACTGATCTGTGTCACCCGGAGATCAGTTGTAATAGCAGGTGATCTCCAGCCACCACCTGGAGGCTGGCAACCCTGTATGGTGTTGATTGGGCCACAGGTGGAACCTGCTCTGTACAAAACAGACACATTCCATTAACTCACGCATGACCCTCGTAAGGTAAAATCATTTGGAAGAAATAAGACGTACAGGTCTCCATAGCATAGCCGCCCCTTTCTGTGTAGCCAGGAAGAGAATGAAACCTGAGCTAACATTGATGTAAGAAGTAATTATAACATCTGCCTAGCCATCAAGCAATAGATATGCATAGCTGAATCCTCCCCATTGTGTCCTGGTCACATTTAAAATCTGGGTAATCTGTAACTGTACCTCCCTCTCCCAATAAGGAAAATAATAAAAGACATTATTCTAAAAACAGAGGAACGATATATTGTCCAAAATACTTTTCTTCAGCAGGATGGAAAATCTCTGACATCTGTTAGGCAAAAGTGAGATACTTCCTTCTTTTCTGTTATTTCTGATGGATCATAAGTCATCTAATGCAAAGCTGGTTGCTTGCTTAAGAGTTTAAGACAGTCAACTCATGTTTTATCAGTGGGATCCAGTTCTAGGAGATGGGCTCTTTATAAGTGGGAAATGGGAACCCCTCTCCAACTTCTGCAATGAGATACCCTTGGACTGCAAGGAGATCAAATCAGTCAATCCTAGAAGAAATGTAGTCATGTATGGCTGTGAGAGTTGGACTATAAGGAAGGCCGAGCGCCGAAGAATAGATTCTTTTGAACTATGGTGCTGGAGGAGACTCTTGAGAGTCCCTTGGACTGCAAGAAGAACAAATCAGTCAATCCTCAAAGAAATCAACCCTGACTGTTCCCTGGAAGGCCAGATAATGAAACTGAAGCTCAAATACTTTGGCCACCAAATGAGAAGGGAGCACTCACTGGAGAAGACCCTGATGCTGGGAAAGATTGAAGGTCAAAGAACATAGGGACGGCAAAGGATTAGATGGTCAGACAGTGTCATAGATGCAACGAACATGAAATTGAGCCAACTTCAGAGGACGGCGGAAGACAGGAAGGCCTGGCGTGATCTGGTCCATGGGGTCGCGAAGAGTCGGACTCGACTGTGCGACTGAACAACAACAACCCATCAGAGCTTAGAGATGGTGATGTCCTTCCAGCTGTGGAAACAAGGTGGGCAGACAGACAGAAGAATGCATTCTGAAAGTTAGTAGGAAGGACAACTGTGTGATGCGAGTTTTCTAGCTGCAATTTGCCAAAACCAGATGTGCAACTTTGGAAAGGCTGCCAGAGTTGATCTTTTGGGGAGCTGCAACCTGCTGTAGGAGTGTCTGTTTGCTTCCACTATGCTCTGCTTCTGTAATCCTTTATTTGTTTACCTATGACTTGCTTCATTAAAAGACTTCTGTTCTGCCCTTCTGTAAGATATGTTCCAATCAGCCCGTAGGATGTAAAACAATAATACAATGCAATAAGCGTTGCCTTGCCTACAGCTGTAAAGAGAGAAGCCATAATAAGAACACCGCCTCTCCAAAGGTGCACTTAAATATAATAAAACCACAAAACACCATTCAAATCAGTATTTACTTTTATAGCCAAAGCAAGTAGTATGAAGGCCCTGTAAGATTCCACTCCATTCTCATCCAGAGGGTGCTGAACCCAGTAGCATTATCTCTGTAACATTTTACCGCTTGCAAGTGGGGGAAGGACATAGCCATAGTTTGTATTTTATGAACTATTAAATCATGCAGTGTTTTCTCCTGTATGCCCACTTCAGTTTGTTATCTATAAATCCAAAGGGAGTTTTAATACATCTAATAAAATGTGTAGAGTTGTTAATATACGTGCTTGTCGTTGACGCCTCCTTCCTCACACTGAGCATTACAGCTATGAAATTCGTGTTTTCGTTTCCCCCTTTCCCCCCTACATATAGTGTATCTACTTCAAAGAGGGAGAGATATTTTGAAACCTAGGAGTCTTCAGAATGTCGTACAGAAAAGAACTAGAGAAATACCAGGATCTGGATGAAGATCGGATCCTGGCAGCGCTGACTGAAGAAGAAATCAAGATGTTAGAGGAAGAAATGGTAGAGCTCGATCCAGATGTAAGTGCTTTTTGGGATACCTTCTGGAGTGTGAAAAAGTTCTGTCGGTGGCATTTAAGTGATGTAGCTGAGTGGAACCTCCATGGTCAGAGGTAGTATAGAGTAGTAAATGCTGGAAACAAAGAACAGAACCATCACTTCGTGCTGTGCTTGAGAGCTTCCACAGGCATCAGACTGGATGTTTGGATCTGATGTCACAGCAAATCCTGAACCACAGACTTTAGAAGCCCGAGGAGGGATTCTATCTGTGCGCCATCACTTAGTTCTGGCCAGAAGAGGGAACGAACCAGACCAACAGCAAAGCTTGGCAGTGACTATGCAGGTCATGTGGTTCTACTTATTTATTTATTAATTTGGAAGATTCATATGCGGTCTTTCAGCCCAGTCAGGCAGCTAACAACTAAAACCGCTGCAGTACAAAAACACTTGAAGCAAAAAATAAATCTTGTAAGCCGAGCTTGCTCAGTTGATCTCAGAAACAAGGAATTGGTTGCTACCATTTCCCTCTGACTTTGGGGGGGGGTCAGTTTCCACAAGACAGAGTTTACAGGGTGGAAATCCTGGGTGCATCCTGTGAACTCTGTCAAAGTCATATGTACCTTGCATGTTCTCCTCTGTTCCTCACATGCCCTGTTGCCACTCCAGGAGAGACCACAGCAGTATGTGGAAGGAGCTTTAGCCCCCACCAGTGTTCCCCCTAAGCTGAGTTAGTGTGAGCTAGCTCACAGTTTTTTAGCCCCCGGCTCACACATTTTTGTCTTTGCTCAGAAAGGATGGCTCCAGAGCAGACTAATTTATGCAGCAGCCAAATCGCTCGCTCACAACTTTAATGCCAGTGGCTCACAAAGCAGAATTTTTGCTCACAAGACTCCACACCTTAGAGGGAGTATTGGCCCCCCCACCTGCAGGGGTGTTAAACATAAGGCCCGGGGGCCGGATGCGGCCCGTGAGCAACTGATGCAAGGGAGGGAGTGCTGAGGGGAGTGGGCAGAGCCACTCCATTATGGCTTTAGTACAGCAGAACAACCTCGCCTGCAGCAGTCAAGCATCGTGGGAGCATCTGCCCAGCACTGCACTGCTGCCTTTCCGGTCTGCCTCTGTGAGCTTTCCTCTCCACCCCCCTTGCGGTGAGGACACACCAATTCGGAGCTTACCAGGTGCTGTCCTTTATACAGTTTCTATCTCCAGTACCTGGCATTATGCTTTATGGCACACATGGCCCAGCCCGACAAAGAGACATTTATGTCAGATCCGGCCCTCATAACAAATGAGTTTGACACCTCTGCACTACACCTTGTTATCCCAAACAGAATCAGTCCAGGGAAGGAGCTGTTTGACCCACTGCCTCTCAAATCTATGGAAATCGATCTCTCTTCTCTACCTTGCCTTCACACTTGCAGTCTCACCCCCCACAGTTGTACACAAGCTGGTTCTAGTTAGATGCTTTTGGAAATAGAATGTCCCCCCTCCCCTCTCTGTGTGGGATTAGGCTGAAGGCCGTGGCAAAAAGAGCGGTATCATAAAAGGAAAGGAAGGAAATGTTGTTGTTTTTTGTCTTAGTTGCCATCTTGTTCTGATTGTTTTAAATTTGAGTTTTAATTAGAAGTTTATTCCTATTTTATTGTAAACTAGTCGCAAGGCCCGTTGCGGAAAGAGATGCAACGAGCCCTAGAGAGGCTGACAGAGGCGGCCCCCTGGATGCCCTGGTGAAGGAGAGTGCTGTGGCTCCCGGGCTGTGAGGGATGCAGCTACCAGGCGGTAGAGTGGCAGTGAAGAAGGGAGTCATGGCAAGGCCCGCAGGAGAGGCAGCCGCCGCGGGTGCGGTGATGGAGGCGGCCCCCTAGACGCCCTGGCGAAGGAGAGGGCTGTGGCTCCCGGGCTGTGAGGGACGCAGCTACCAGGCGGTGGAGTGGCAGCGAAGAAGAGAGTCATGGTGGGGCCCGTGGGAGAGGCAGCCACCGTGGGTGCGGTGGGGCCGTGATCCGTTGCTGGGCATGGAGGGCGAGCAAGCCGCTGCCTCTTTGCCACTGCGGCCCCCTGGTGGTGGAGCGGGGATGAGCGAGGGAGCCGTTCTCGGTCGTGCGGGCCGAGCAAGGCAGTGTGGCCTCCTGGCGCCAGCGGCAGGATTCCTTGGGCTCACAGGCTGAGGGAGGGTGCGGCACGGGTGGCTGCTCCCGGGCTGCATGGCTCACTGCCTCCCAGCATGTGCCCGAGATGGTGACGGAGCGGCGGCGAGCGAGGGAGTCGTTCTCGGGTGAGCAAGGGCGCAGCGCTGCTGTGGCATCACCATTATGGGGCTCGGTCTCCAGACTGTCCGCCCGCCAGACCATCCTGGCTGCCCAGCGGCTCTCATCACACTGTGGGCAAGAGGCAGGGCAGGATGAAGGCAACGCAGCCAGTGGGCAGGGACATCTTTCTGACTGGCAGTTGAAGAAGTGAAAGGCTGTGGGGGCGTGTGGAACGTTGAGACAAGAGGGACACAAACAGCGCTTTATAATAAGGAGAGATTTTTATATGTTGTGAGCCGCCCTGAACCCACTTGTAGGATAGGGCAGGATATAAGCTTAAATAAATAAATAAATGGAATGCTTGACATTTGTATTCTTACAGATACGGGCTCAAACCAGATGAGATAATGGAAGATCTCCCATGCAGTTTTCTACAATAAATAAATAGTTGCAGGGGGGGGGGGGGTGATGAGTCAGATTCAGGATGTGAAAAGCAAGAGAGTTCAATCCATTCTCACCCTACTATTGCCCCCATTCAAATGGACCTCCAGAGCTGTTGTTTGTCCCCCAGTGAGGCAAGTAACAGTGTTGGGGAAGCGCACATGAGGTCAAGAAAATGGCGCGGAAGGCAAGATAATTCCACTGAGGGGGCCATGGTAGACTGTTGTAGCAAAGCAAAACAGAAATCCACTGGTATTTCCCCCCCCCCCATGAGCCTTCATGAAATCAGAATCGACTTCCTCAGATTCCGTGGGAAGGAAGAAAATAATTTTCCTAATTTTTACAGAAAATCACAGAAGAGGAGGGAGAAGGAGAGAAGAGTGGGAAAAGAGTTAATACACGAACCTGCCCTGTGGCACCAGCACAGACTGGAGCTTCTCCGTTCCTATTTTGGTCAAACACACTGAGCCATGGGCTGCCAGTTTCTGGTGCTACAGGCCAGGTAGAGAGAAGCTGGTTGTAGTAAAGAAAGGGATTATCTAAGGCGGCGGTTCCCAAACTTTTCGGTACAGTGACCCACAAGGCCAAATTTACTTGTTATGGTGACTCATCCAATGCTGGCCCAAGGGTTTTTGGCACCCTAGGGAGGAACTTCAGCATTCCATTTTCTGCCCCAGCTGGCCTGCCAACATACACAGCCTTTGCATAGGGAGATTACATTCCAGCCTTTGACCATCCTCTCCTTCTCCATTACTCCCAGTTTGGTGTAGTGGTTAGGAGCCTGGGCTATAAGCTGGGAGAACTGGGTTTGATTCCCCACTCCTCCACATGCAGCTGCTGGAGTGACCTTGGGTCCGTCACTGTTCTCTCAGAGCTGTTCTCTCAAGAGCAGTTCTCAAAGAGCTCTCTCAGCCCCACCTACCTCACAGGGTGTCTGTTGTGGGGAGGGGAAGGGAAAGGAGATTGTAAGCCGCTCTGAGACTCCGAGTGAAGGGCCGGGAATAAATCCAATCTCTTCTTCTTCTCCCCTGTAATCCCCCCTAAAAGTCTAAGAAACTCATTCCACTAACCATCAGGATACTTTTTACTTCATCAACATGTATAGGTAGTGAAGAAAAATACCATCTAATGTACAACATGGAAGATACTGTTTCCAGGATCAGATCTTTGTTTCCGGAAGAGGTCATTTTGGGGGGGATCGGAAGAGTCAGGGGCAGCCAATAGGGAAGGCTGGTCCGCAACCCACACGCAGAGGCTTCACAACCCACTTTCGGGTCCCGACTCACAGGTTGTGAAACACTGTAAAATGATTTGCTTGAGAAAAGATCCCCACCTGATTTGTTTTCTCTGGGCAAGTATTCTGGATTCATGGAGCGACTGCAGATCACCTGGATGGGCAGAAAAACAGATACGATCGGCATGGCAGTAGAGCAGTGGGACAAAATGAGCTGGTGACCGTGGCGCCTTTTCTTTGTGTTCTCCTCCCCAATCTAGAATGCGTTGTTGCCTGCAGGAATGAGACAGAGAGACCAGACCAAGAAAACACCCACCGGCCCATTTAAAAGGGACGACCTTCTGGCGCACTTGGAGAAGCAGGCCACCAGTACCAAAGACCGAGAGGATCTGGTTCCTTTCACAGGAGAGAAAAGAGGTATGCCAAGTGGGTTTCTTGCATTTGTGTTTTTTGAGAAGTGTGTTCAGAAGAGTGTAGCCAGGGGTTGCCAACTGCAGGCTGGGAAATACCTGGTGATTTGGGGTGGGGGTGGAGGGGTTGGAGCCTGAGGAGGGGGGGATTTGGGGAATTGAGGGACTTCAGTCAGGTATAATGCCACAGAGTCCACCTTCTAAAGCGGCCATTTTCTCCAGCTGAACTGATCCCTGTTACCTGGAGATCTCCAGCCACTGCCTGGAGGTTGCCACCCTCAGCTTTCTAGCCCTAACTCTGAACGGATGAAGGTCACGTTGAGAGTCGGGTTTCTTTTGCATGGGTGTGTCCTCTCCAAAGAAGGAGATCTCCAACAAGGAAGAATATGGTGGTGCACCTTAGAGGCATGAAATCCATAGAGGAAAATATATACCTAAAAGCCTCTCCCTGGAGTTTTCTTGCATGGAAGGGACCATGGCTCAGTGGTAGAGCATCTGCTCGGCGTGCAGAAGGTCCCAGGTTCAGTCCCTGGCATCTCCAGTTAAAAGGATCATATAATAGGTGATGTGAAAGACCTCAGCCTGGGACCCTGGATAGACACTGCCAGTTTGAGTAGACAGTACTGACCCTGAGAGATTGATGTTGTGGTTCAGTATAATGCAGGTTCGCGTGGCTAAGAAAATGGAGGTCAAGACATGGCCGTTCCAATGAAGGATACAATCAGGGACATGGGTGAAGGGCAGCAGAAGGTACCTCTCTATGCAGAGATGTTCAGATGACATGGGAAGAGGGTTCCATTTAACCCAAATCCCAGTGATGTCATCCCTTCCAGGAACATTCTGGACTTTTCTTGCATACAAATGAATGGCTGCCATTCGTTTCTATGGGTGGAAACCAATGCTCCCTCTGAGCTGTGGTCTTGTGAGCAAAAATCCTACTTTGTGAGCTACTGGCATTAAAGCTGTGAGCGAGCGATTTGGCTCCTGCGTAAATCAGTTTGCTCTGGAGCCATACTTTCTTGAGCTAAGACAAAAATGTGTGAGCCAGAGGCTAAAAAAAATGTGACCTAGCTCACACTAACTCGGCTTAGAGGGAACACTGGTGGAAACCTAATCTCTCATCTTAGATGGCCATCTGACAGCAATGCTGATTCTGTGAATTTAGGCAGATCATGAGAAGGAGAGCAGGAAGGGTTGCATCAGTATTTAGTTCTCGTGGCCCTTTCTTACACACCCAGGGAAATGCTGATTGCCACTGTGGCCAGGAATCTTCTGGGCATGGAACAGGAGTCACTGTGTGTGTGTGTGTGGGAGGTATTTGTGAATTTCCTGCATTGTGCAGGGGGTTGGACTAGATGACCCTGGAGGTTCCTTCCAACTGTATGATTCTGTGACACTGAATGATCTGATCAAAAGGACAGAGGATTCATTGTGGAGTAAAATGCATGTTTTTGTGCAGAGACCCATTGTGTGTGCATATGTATGGGCTAGGCTGTACCTTGCAATAGACAATCCTTTCCCCCTTCCCCACCACCCATGTTATAATTTGGAATAGCCAGGAGATCTCAAGCTGTAGCTCTCTTTTTGGCACCACTAGGTGGTGAGCTATGTTTATTTTTAGGCTGAGAGTGCAGTGACTTGCCTAAGGTCACCCAGCTAGCTTCAAGTGGGGAATCAAACCCAATTTCTCCAGATAAGAATCCACCACTCTTAACCACTACGCCAAAGTGGCCCAAACAGGCATTTAACAAACTGGAATGCTGAACAGTGTTGTTTGGCTTTTTGTTTCTGCTTATAAAGTGGCTGGCTCCGCCTCCTGGGGCAGGCATTTGTGTCAGCCGTTTTGCTTTAACATTTAAGAAAATTTGTTTCTGCAGTCCTTAAGAAGCAGGAACTTTGTTTCAGAAGCAAAACGGAGCGCCTCACTGCACTCTGTAGATTACGCACAAAGGGGGCAATCTGCCAAGAAACTCTCCAAGCCCCACTGAAACAAGGGAGACGTCATTCATTTCAACAGCATTTGTGCAAAAGGAATTCCCAGTGGATTGTGTTTTGGGGGAGTTCATGCTGTTCTTTGATGTAGGCAAATATTTTCAGTGTAGGAATGTAGAAGGTATATAGCCGTGACTCAAGAACCCAACGAAAGTCAGATGTGTGATGCTGGTGTTCACTTGCAAGACAAATCTTAATGTTCATGGCTGTTCTTCTAGATTCTAGATACTGTCAGTCCCAGCAGAAGAAAGACTATCTGGAATCTAGAGCAAGGTGCTCAGCCTTTTTGAGCTTGTGTGCACTTTTGGAATTCTGACATACCCAGGAGGTGGAGCCAGCCACAAAACAGCGGCCACAAAGCCACAAAACAGTGGCCACAGCTTATCTTCAGTTACACCATGAGGATTCTTGTGTTGTGGTGGCAATTTTTTTTTTTTTTTTAATCTGCACAGTTGATCAGATCTCCAAAGGCTGACCAGAAGTCTTACTGGGCAACTCTCTCTACCTCTCCGGTGCAATGTGCTCTGACTCACAAAAAGTTAGGGTGGAATAAATTTTGTTAGTCTTTAAAGTGTTGCGGCACTTGTATTTAATTCTAGAGTATCAGATGCTGGAGAAGAATTATGGGGCGGAGGGAAGAGACCTGTGACCTTCAGTATCTATTTGTGAGCTTCTTAGAGGCATCTGGCTGCATTTGTGGTCTAATCCAACAGGAGTTGTTTATTCTTACATTCTCTTTTTTCTGTTGTTCTGATAGCCACTGTGGTGTAGTGGTTCAAACATTGGACTAGGGTCTGGGATAGCCAGGTTCAAATCCCCACAGAAGTTCCCTGGGTACTCTTGGACCTGTCATGTGCTCTCAACCTAACCTACCCCACAAGGTTGTTGTAAGGATAAAATGGAGGAGAGCTATGTAAGCCACTTTGGATCCCCGTTTGGGGGAAAGGAGGAGTATAAATGAAAAAATAAATAAAAACTTCAAAGTATAACCTTAATCGGTGCTTTGACAGCCATTCCATTTAGAAGTAAGCCAGGCCCAAAGAGCAGTGGTTACATTGCTAAGTCCTTTTTCACTATATATTTTCAGTCAAAATGGACAAAACATTTGTTGCTCCATGGAGACCCCTTGTTCTAAAAAACATCTCTAAAACCAAACCGTTATTCTACAAGTGCCGTGACTGCATTTTTTTTAGAGTGTGTTTTTGATAAAGTGCTTCACCCGCTTCTCCCATACATGTTTCAGTAATTTTGAAGGGAATTCAGAGAGGCTGTTTTGGGTTTCATCTTGAGAGTGAGAGAGTCCAGAATGCAGTTGCTTCTCTGTGAGGGCTAAATTTAGCCACGCTCAACCTTCAGGCTGCTTTCTGGACTGCATGGCCTTTGTTCGGCTTTTTGTTCTGAGTTGCACAGGCTGAGAGGACAGAAATAGCCCCCCATGTCACATTCCATGCCCAGAGCTATGAGTATGCTATCTCGTTCACAGGCCTCTTCTGGATTGTTTTCTGAAGAGACGCCTCATGTTTTTTCTCTCTCTTCATAACACGGCTTGCGTTGTCACTCTTTCACTTCCAGTCCTTCAGACTCCAGTGAACTCTTCAAAATAACCCTCTGGTTTAAACCATAAAGAAAATAAATATATTTATTCTCCTCATGGGGGAAAAGCATTCAGAAAAATGTAACCTGTTCTTCCCCCAAGTGGTGACAATTCATAGTTCAAGTCATCTTTTACCATTGATGGGGTTGACGCTTTAAATATAGAGCTCGTGTTTTAATTTGAAAATTTCACTAAAAGGGCATTGAGATCAGTCAGATGAAAAAAGATGGGAACACTTTTTTAATCTACCCGCAAGGTGATGGGAGTTTATATAACCCCAGCATGGGGTGGGGGGAAAACCTTTCCAATGCTGTGACAACAGCATGTTGATGTGGTAGTTAAGAAGGTCTTGACTACTTTGGTATTTTTTCCTCAGACCCATAAGAAGTTTTGAGTTGAAGGAAACTATGTGTGCGTAAAGAAAGGGTTTCCTGTGAGATCCCATAGGGATAAACATCCTGGTATAGTTGTGTCCTTACTAACACAATAATTAATATATTTTCATATTTTTGACATCTAATTGCAGCCATTGTCCAATCTATCTTTGTGCTTTTGTGTTCTCAAACTTTATGTTAATTGAGGGCTGTTATTCCCCAGTATCCCATAAATGCTCTGTGTGAGCATAGAAGAGCTTTAGTTCTTTAATTCATTCAATCATTTTTGATATGGTTAAATAAGGGCCGAATATTTGTCAGTCACGTCAGTACCTTCACATTAATTGGACAGAGTACTGAAGGGCGGGAGCAGACTTGCCTCTTACGGTGCTCTTGAGCATCATGTGACCTGTGCATGTATTCTCCCTCATATCCTTCAATGTCTCTGGCTAGAAGCCTTTAAGTAAAAAAACTGGAAACTCAAAATTTAGATAAGAAGCCCAGAATATCACTGAAGGGCCCATTCCCCCTCTGCTGCATAATGGTTGTGATAGAAACCAGTGACTGACAATGGAAGCATTGATGAGATGCTACAGAGGAGGAGGGATTCTGCCATTTGGGGTCCACAGATGCAATAGAAAAAGAAGTCAAAACACATTCTTCAGTTACAGAATAAGCCTGGCTTCCTCCAAGCTTTGCAGCAAAAGTGACAGATGCACATACCAGTAAATCCAGTGCTGGTTGGGCGGTCAATCTTGCCTCCCTTCTCCTGATTTCTTCCCATCAGCTGTCTGCCTTTCCTCCAAAATGTTTCTAAAAGCACCACACGAACATTTGTGCGTTTATCAGATTACCCCCTTGTTTGTCACCTTAATGGGAAAAGGGAGAAATTGCAAACTGGGGGGTGGGGGTGTGGGAAACAGTTGGCTCGGGGACATCATGGAAGACCCACCAATCAGTAGCATGCATGTGTAGCTTCTACGTCAGCCTAGCAAAACTGATATTTATCAGAGCTTGTTCTCAAAAAAAGGTACATTGAAATCAAATGCAGTGAGGATGCTTCCAAATTAGATATGCAGGGCTATTTTTGGGCAGGAACGCACAGGAACAGAGTTCCGGCTGGCTTCAGAGTTAGCCACACCCACTACAGCAAAGACCTCTGCATGCATGGCTACAGAGGGAAGGCCTGGAGACCCAGCCCGGCTACTCCGAGGCCTTCCCATGCCTTCCCTGGTCTGTCCAAGGGTCGGCTTTTTCCGGCGCGGCGCCGCCCCCCGGCGGCCCGGCCGTCGGGCAAGCCAAGGGAAGGCATGGCGTGTGTGGCCTAATATGCTAATGAGTTTCTGCTGTCGGGTGTGGCCTGTTATGCTAATGAGTTCCTGCTGGGCTTTTTCTACCAAAAAAAGCCCTGTAGGTATGTATTGAGTCTCAACTGACTTATGATGACCGCATCAAGGGGCTTTCAAGGCAAGTAAGAAGCAGAAGTGGTTTGCCACTGCCTTCCTCTGCAGAGTCTTCCTTGGTGGTTTCCCATCCAAGTACTGACTGTGCTTAGCTTCCAAGATTTGATGAGGTCAGGCTATACATCCCGTGCCGTTCCACGTTCCCAAATCAGCATCGCTGCTCTTAAAATTTGATCTCATTCTTCAGCCTTTGTCATAGGTGGCATCCAGGGGGCAGCATCAACCAATGTCTGTAAGACCTAAACAAGAGAGCGCCTAACTATCCCAAAGGTTTAAGAAAACAAAGTGTGAGTCCACACCTTTGGCACCTTTAAGACCAGCAATGTTTTATTCAAGGTATAAGTTTTTTGTGTGCAAGCACACTTCAGATACAGTGAAACAGAATTTCCTCAACCATTACAAATAGGAAGAGAAAGGGTAGGGAGGTTTAGTTGCCGGGAAGGGCCAATTAGAGTCGAGACAGAGACAGAAACAAAGTTGGAAATTACCAGTCCATACATGTAGGTAGAGGGTGAGCAGTAAATTATCATACAGCATAATGAAGATATTTAACAGATTCAAGGATCGAATAAGGATAATTTATATGGTTACCATTTGTTTGGGTTCAGTTCTGGGGGGAAAACAGTGAAGGAAATAAATATGTCAAAACTGGAGGTTGATGGAATGCTGAGAGTAATTATTTGAGATCCGTTTAACAAGACAGTGATCTCCTGGAACACAGTGGCGTTAGCGCCTACTGTTTTTTAAGACTGATCATTTCCCCCTTCCGATCCAGCAGTTAAGAAGCTGGCTCTTGGGCAGCCATATGTGTTGCTTCCTAGATGCGTATAACATGGCCATTGGTAGTTCACTAAGGAAGAGCTTCTTTGGACGGAAGAACTCTATAGAAGAAGGAGAAGGAAGAGAGTGAGTGACACTGCCATCCTTTCCCCCTCCATGCTAAGAACGAAGCACCTGGGTCGGATCTGTTGCCCAACATCCTACCCAGGATGGAAGACTTTGTAGGGAGTTGATTTCCACATCTAGGACCATCTACAGCCCTGTGCAGAGGAAGTGGTATGTCCTGTTGTGTCCATCCCACCCATGAACACATGATGAGAAGAAGAAGAGATTGGATTTATACCCCACCCTTCACTCGGAGTCTCAGAGCAGTTTACAATCTCCTTTCCCTTCCCCTCCCCACAATAGACACCCTGTGAGGTAGGTGGGGCTGAGAGAGCTCTCGAGAGAACTGCTCTTATTTATTTGTTTGTTTGTTTATTTTTCAGATTTTTTTACCCCACTCTCCCGACCGGAGCTGGCTCAGGGCAGCTTGCATAAAAGCAGATTGTTACATTAAAAACATAAGTTGCAATTAAAACAAATTATAAAATCATAGTAAAGTGCCAGTAGTTGTTGGTATTCATATGACGGTAGCAGCCAGTAGCCAGTATACAAAGTTGTGTGCAGTGTTCCCTCTCAGCTGAGCTAGTGTGAGCCAGTTCACAGCCCTTTAGCCTCCGGCTGAACAGCTCTGAAAGAACTTGTGACTGACCCAAGGTCACACCAGCAGCTGCATGTGGAGGAGTGGGGACTCACACCCGGTTCTCCCAGATTAGAGCCCGCGCTCCTAACCACTGCACCAAACTGGCTTATACTAAGTCAGACTGGTCATCCATCAAGATCAGTACTTTCTGCTTGGAATCCTACCCGCCAGGGTCTCAGGCAGAGGTATTTCCAGTCACCTACGATCTGAGCCTTTCAGCTGGATTGAACCTGGGGGCTTCTGGTGCCAAGCAGATGCTGTACCACCAAGCCATCGCCCCACCCCCTACCCCCTTTTATTTATCTCTGTGTCAGCTAAAAAAAACCCTCTGCTCTACTCTACTCTAGACCTTAGTCCGGTTGACTGAGTACTCCCACTTCCTCCGATGGTGATGGCTACTTGTGACAGATTTAGAGACCTCCTTGTTTTTGTCTCCTGTTCCTGCACATTTCATTTGCTCGCTTGGGGGCTGCTAGTATGAAGTTGTCGGCAGGAAAGAACTTCAGTCCCTAAATCAAAACAGTTGCTGTGCCTGCCACCATGGAGCTGATAATGCTTTTTCCCCCCTTGTATTTACAGGGAAAGCCTGGGTCCCCAAGCAGAAGGCTATTGATCCTGTCTTGGAGAGCGTGACTCTGGAACCAGAACTGGAGGAGGCGCTAGCAAATGCTTCCGATGCTGAGCTTTGCGACATTGCTGGTAAGAGAGAACAGTGTGCATTGATTGGTGCTTGGCAGAGGGAGGGAATTGTTATTTCACAAGGCTTCCGGTACCATACCGCGGAGAGTTTTCCCATTCTAAACCGTTGAAAACAGTGGAGTCACTCAGCATAAGACTGAAGTGCAGTCCTAAGCAGAGTTTCCACCCTTCTAAGCCCATTGACCTCCAGGGACTCAGGATGTAACTGATTTTAGGACTGCACCGTCTTGTTTACTGATGCAATTAGTTGGCCTCCCTGCACAGAAGTTGCCTTATCTGCCCTCTGCAGAATCCTGGTATTATATGAGCTTGGTGTGACTCCGGTTACCAGCAGTCCGGCTTATAGGGGGTCTGAACTGTTATATTTGATTCACCATCTTTTAACTGTTTAATAGTTTTAGCTGTTTTAAGAATGAAATGCATTACCTGGTTTTATTTGTTCACGCACTTTTGTTGTTACCCCCACCCTGAGCCCGTTTTGGGAAGGGCAGGATATAAATTTAACTAATGAATAATAAAGGAAATGTGTGGGTGAGAAGATTTAGGGTCTGTTACCAATCTCAAGGTGGGGCCTGAAGATGTCTCAGAAGGCCAGCAGATCCCCAGATTATGGAGATCAGTTCTCCCGGATGAAAGTGCCCCTTCGAAAGGTGAAGTCGATGGTACACCACGGAGTCTAGGAGAAACGGAAGTCCTAGTGTGACATCACATCCCTACTGAGCTCCCCTCCCCCCCGAAAAAAAAATCCTGCCCTCCCCAGGAACCACCCCCAGTTCTCCTGGAATTTCCCAAGACAGAGTTCGCAGCCCCAGCTGGGGAGAAAGGGAGAGGTAACCCTGCAGCCCGGTTTCAGACCCTTGACTGGGGTAGCCTTTGGGTGAAGACGGACCTGGTGCTTACAGGCCAACAGAGCTGTTTCAAAAGAGTCCCACCTGTTCCTTCAGTCCAAATACATCTCAATGTTAACTCCCATGGCACTGTTGTTGTTGTGGTTGTCTTTAACTAATCTCCTCTTTTCCTTTGGTCGCCCTCCTTGACCGAACCTGCCCAATCCTGCTTCAACTCTGTTTGGTTTTGTGTTTTTTTTTCCAGCCCGCTGTGTGTTCCTCTCATGTTCCCCTGACATCATCCATCTCTTTAGGAATCGCAGAGGGAGTGTAAGAGACCTAACGCTAGTGACCTCTTTAGCGGTGCGATCCTCCTGCATCAGGCCTGCTGGTCTGTCCTGTCCAGAATCGTGCTGCTGCTTCGCCATTTTTTATTCCACAAGAATTCTGCATTTAAAAAAAGGAGTTGTCTGAATTGCAGTGCGGGAGCTTGCAGGCCTGAATGCTGCTTGCTGATTGGGTTATATATCGTTCATCAGTCGCAGCTTGGCTGGAAAGTTCCCTTTTGAAGCATGCTTGCAGTAGGCTGGTTGTTGCTAAAATGCGGGCCAGGGCAGGGCAGTGTGCCAAAAGAAATGAACAAATGAAATATCTAAAGGCCACTTGGAGCCGAGAATATCCACCCACAAAGGAGGTTGCCTGCCGCTTCCCTGCATGATCTGCTGCTCTGACCTCTGTTCTTTCCCATCAGCCTCTGCTGATTGAGGTGGATAATTCTGCTGCAGCTGTGGACTGGGTGTGATCGAACAATCCGGTCATTCCCAGTGCAGAGGCATTGCCCATCCTTTCAGGACATTTCCTGTTGTGTCTTTGCATGAGTTACAGCTCAGAATCGGCCTTCTTTCAGTTAAGAGGTATGCCCAGGATGATAATTTGTACAGAATGATGGAATAGGCTTCTTGGATGGTCGGTAATCAAATACACCGTATAAAAGTAAACATTTGCGTGAAATATTGCTCCAGTTCTAGTGGGCCTCAGTGACTGGAAGTTTGGGAAACACTGCAGTACCTCATTACAAAAGCCCTGTTTTGCTGGTAAACAGGCTACTTTGAAATAGTCTTGTCCTGGAGTTCTGAGAAAAGCTGGCTAAGAGAACAGCAGGTTTGGTACTCTTTGAAAATTCACACCCGAGTTTCCCCTTTTCTTGAACTGATTAAGTCGTTTTCCTAAACGCTCTTCAGCCCATTCTTTCCATATGTCTAGAACAGGAGAGGCTATGAATCAACGGTAAGAGCACTGGCTTGGCGTGCAGAAGGTCCCAGGTTCAATCCCTGGCATCTCCAGCTTCAAGTACCCATTAGTAGGTGATGAGAAAGACCTCTACCTGGGACCCTGGAGAGCCGCTGCCAGTCTGAGTAGACAGGACTGAGATGGACCGATGCCATGAGGCAGTATGACCGTCTACAATTCACAACTATATGTGCTCAAAACTATAGAAGAAGAGAAGAGAAGAGATTGGATTTATATCCCGCCCTTCACTACCCAAGGGAGTCTCAGAGGGGCTTACAAACTCCTTTCCCTTCCCCTCCCCACAACAGACACCCTGTGAGGTAAAAGAAGAAGAAGAAGAGGTTGGATTTATACCCCGCCCTTCACTACCCAAGGGAGTCTCAGAGCGGCTTACAAACTCCTTTCCCTCCCCCTCCCCCCAACAGACACCCTGTGAGGTAAAAGAAGAAGAAGAAGAGATTGGATTCTACCCACGG